CYSWTCCTTTTTGCTTTTCTCTRCTCAAGAAAACTGTGACTAAAGAAGTRTATTCAGGTTATGCCTGCTGGAGTAAATACTCTTGAGTTTGTCACTAAAGTCATTCTAACTTCCATGATCCTCTAAGTTAAAATTCTGACAGGAGTAGAGGTTTGAGAGTTCTTTTCATTCTGTGTTGTACTGTGGTACTTTGGTACCTCTTCTTCCACTCACTCTTTACCCCTTCTYTAAGAAGGGCATTCTGCTGTTATTTTTATTATCTTTTTTCAGTGTAGGGGAGTCTCTGTAGAGTCTCCTGTGGTCTGTCCGTAACCAAAGTTGCTGGGATTCCAACAGATTTGAACTCATATTTGTCAGATTCAGAATCTCACTGTAAGTTGTGAAAAGAATACTCTGAGCATATGTTTATTTTTGGATTAATACTTTCACATTGTCATTACATTATAATTCCTTTTAAAATCATTTTGCTTTTGGTCTCAGCAAGTGGAATGGTTCATTCTAAATCACTGTGGAAGGTAGGGGCTGGCAATAGCCTGTTTATGAGTTGTGATAGTGGATGTGGAAAGCCCTGTCAGCACTGAGCCACTGCAAGTGAGGGGACAACATGCACACTGGTATTTCTGGTCTTTATTCTGATGGAAGGACAGTTGTGTTCTCAAAAGTGTCTGGAGTGTCAGCCTGCATTTAGCCATGATCAGAGTTCCTGTACCAGTTTAGATGTGGTCACTTGGTTTCCTGCACTGGTGCACTTAAAACTGCTCAGCCTTTTTCCCTTTGCCTTGTTTGGTGTAAGAGTATCCAGACACCTATTGTGCCCTGACAGGACAGCTTCTGGGATGTGAGCCTTTGTTACCTTGCACCACACAGCCATCCCTTCTCCACCATGSCCAGACCTTACTGGATCAGATTCATGAGCCCCACTGGTGTGCTTTTACTATGTGTTCAGCTGCATTACCTTGGAAAAAGAAAAAACTCTGTTGATAAGGTTCCATTTCCTTAGTTGATTTCATGTTATGAGCCACTGGAATTTTTTGTTTTCAAAAAATTTTAAAAATTTTTAATTTCTAAATTTTAATTTTTTTTAAATTTTAAATTTTGAAACATTTTAAATATGTGAAATATTTTGTATAAGTTTTGGGAGTGGTCATTAATCATCTCTTACAAAACTTACTGGTTAGAATTGCACTGATGAACTCTCTCTAGTCCTCACGCTGAGTGATGTTCAGTGTGTTAGCAAATGAAACAGACAAAAGGAAAATGAGATCTAAAAAGATGTGAACAAACATCTGCAGAGTTCTCATCTCCTGAATAATAAGCATCATTCTACTACATTCCTTCCTTAGTATTCTCTGTGTATTTGTGATCCCTTGCTGTGCTACATCTAATTTACAATCTAAGCCCTATCAGAAAAAAAGTACTTGGAGGTTTTATTTGCCTAGGTACTGTGCATGCATATTTAAATGTTAAAATGTTTAAGTAATGTGGAAAAAGTTGAATGGACTAAGATAGGAGTCTCTCCCTGCAGCATATCCTAACCAGCAACTCGCATCTCCTTTCCATTCTTCTATTAATGATAAATTAACTACATGACGATTCTAAAATGAATGAAGCAAAAACCTACAAAGAACAAGGAGGCAGCTTGCAAACCACTGTAATTTTCAAGTGAGTTGTATTACTAAGTGCAACCTTAGTGTMCTAATTAATTAGAATTATCACTTAGCCATGTGTTCATATATAGATTTTGTTCCCCTGTATTTTAATTTTGRATGTTTCCTAGTGAAAACACTCATAGATAATTTTGTTTGGAACATCAGCTCAATGAAGCTGATGAATAAATGCAGCTTCAATTTCTGAGTCAAGCTGAATTCAAAATAGTGATATTTATTGATGGATTTTTTTTTTAATCACTATCTTTTTTCCTTTGTGTTTGAGCTACTGAAAGTGTCAAGTATGGATGTATTAGGTATGATTAGCTMATATATTCTTCCAGAGGGTAGATTCATCAGTCTAGTTTTGTCTAAAGCACTAGTGCATAGTGAAAACTGGTTTTTAGAGKTAATCTTGCCAATACAACAGATTAGTCAACATGCCTCATAGTTTAAATGAGTAAAGTAAAATATAAATTAGAAACTATATCTTGGTTCATCATTTCTTCTTAGCTGATACGAGTTTTCTCCTATGATTTAACTCTTTCCATGTTTTCATTGCCTGTGTTTCTAATTACATCACCAAGCAATTTTTTGAAATGTCATAGTGCATCTGTGACTCCTTACCATTAGAGCTGTCACAACCTCAATTAATTCTGAAAATCAAAGTCCTGTTCTTTTTGTCACCCTGCAGCTGCTGTAAAAAATGTTTTTCTCTCTTTCTAGACCCTTTATACTCATCAGTTTYTTGCACAGTTTGTGTCATAAAATGCTCTTTCTTAGTTCAGAATTATACATAAAAGACTTAGATTCAAGTGTTTCTAACCTTTCTATTTGTGGTGCTAMCCATGAAAATATTAACCACATTTCCAGCCTCATAGCATTATTTACCTGCMTGTGCAGACAGCCTGAAACATCTCTAGTTCATCTGACTGAGGGGGAAAAAAAGGCAATTCAGAGTTCCGTGGATCCCACTCACTTTCTGRTGCATATGTTAGGGATATTCCCAGRGTTCTGTGTATTTGCCACAAAATTTAATTTTTGTCCCACTTTTTAAATTTGGTTTTCTGCTTTCATGTCCTACTAGAAACTATTGCAGTMGTTTCATTCTCCCTGAGTTTGTCTTGCTGGAGGAATATTGAGGTTACATTACATTCCTAAAGAGAGATCTTGCTGCCTGAGACATAAAAATGTATTTAGGGCTTGCAAAGAACTTCATTTGTATCCTGTAGCAGCTGAAGAGAGGAGAGGGAATGAAGTGGARTTACTTATTCCTTCTCTCAGCTGCCTTTAATTCTGAGAAACTGCAAAAGAAGTTTCTGGTAGACAAAAAATAAATGGCATGTATAGGATCAGGGTATTTAATATGGAAATTTTGACCTACAAGCATCTCTGGGTACTTTAGCCAGTCAGAACATGATTAAAAATCCAAAAGAACTCTTTCTGATCATGCAGATGTTATTGAAGGGTGCACAGTAAGTATGATAGAAGTAGTACATTTTAATCAGATTTTCTGTGTCAGAGAGGCCCAGAAAAGAAAAATATATATCCTCACTTGAAGGATTGTAGCATTCTGACAGTTAAAAAATTTGCTATATTAATATTGCCTTATTGAAGGAATATTTACTTTATCTTCCATAAAAAAATAATAGAATATGTCCCTGTGCAAGAGTACTTGTTTCTTTTATTTCACTGCTGTATTCAAGTAGTTGCTAAGTAATTGGAATGTGGRAATGAAAGGGTGAATTGCCAGAGTTCTCCCCAAACCTGTGGCAGTTGTAGAGTGGAGTGTGCCTGCCTTTCCAGGCATTCCAGAAACAGCCGTTTGTTTTCATTGACCTCACCCACACTGAACACTCGCTGCCAACTCAAATCATTTCAGCAAGATGTGGCACATAAAGTGGTTTTAACAATTTTRCTTTTCACTGGAAGAGCAATTCAATTTCTGATTACTCCAATACTGCAAAACTCAGCAGAAATTTCAAAGCCTATCAATTAAAGTGCTTTCCAATCAGGCTCATTGTTGAGTTGTGTCCCTTCTCCTCCTTATGTAGTAAAATTCATGCTGCCTGCATTACCTCTGTGTTCTCATTACTTTAGTTTTGTCTGTAAAGGGAGAATATTACTTCAAGCAGAGAAGAAAACACTGCAACCATACTTAGTATGATTCTTTGATAATTACAGAGAAAAGAATTTTTTAAAAAAAAAATCTATCAGAGTTTGGCTGAGATAGGGACTTAGCATCATCAGCTTGTGCTACCTGTATAGTTCTTTCTCAATTTAGCCCAAAAACTTTTTAAGGAACATCAAGTCCCCAGGGATTTTCATTCATCATCACCTTCCATCCAAACCTGCCCAGGAGTTAAAGGCTTTATTCTGCAGTGTAGAAAGCGTGCCCTTAGAAACTGCTCCTTCCTCACCTCTGCATGTAGCATGTGCTGGGTTTGGATGTCACAGGCGTCTTGATCATCCATTTTACAAGTTTCTCTGAGAGARGACAAGGCAGCCTGAGCAGGCAGACAAGGAGCAAACACCACTGGGTTTCCCTGGTCAGCAGGAGCAAGGAGCCAGCACTCCAGGCTAACACACAGAGTGTGGTGTGTCTGCTCTGCTGCTTGAGCAGAGTCCCTTGGCCTGGGCCTTGGTCCCCAGGAAAACATTTGCTCCATTGAACTGGCACATTTGCTGCATTGCAGGGATGACAGAGGATTACTTAATTGGCAGGAATTATTCTGGATTCAGGATTGTCAGTTTGTTTAGTGAATATCAGAACTGAGACTTGACAGAAAGGTACTGCCACACAGGCTAAGTCAGAAACTGAGCAATTTCCACCTCCTAGGTTTTACATATTCTGCCAGCAAGAGTTTGATATTAGGGGTGTATTTAGGGGTGTATTTGGAATTTAGGGGTGTATCCAGGCTGGCTGTACTCTGGGCACTTCCCAGAAGTGGCAGTGATGGGCTGTGCTAAAGAGTGATTATGCTTTTGCTGTTTCTAGTGCTTGAATAAAGCAGGCACAAATATACACACATTCTTTTTTTAGCAGTGTTATTATTCTCACCTATTTGGGTTTTTTTTTGCCTTAGCTTTCCCCATAAAATAAGAAGCAGGCTACAGTAAGTGTCTGTACCATGTGGAGAACTCAGAGATCTTGCTGTTTCATCTAAACAAAGTAATATGCTAGTGTCATAARTCTGTTTTATTTTCTTCAAAGCTTCTTGTAATTGTTCCTCTAACATCAGTAATCCTGCCATTCTGTGCAACAGAATAATTTTTCAAGTAATTAACATTGGATTGACAAGTGGGTTGAAAAATACTTGTAGACTAGAACAAAAAATGCATTCCATCTGCTTGTATGAGTCTCCTTCCTTTGTTCAGAATGTGTGATGTTTTTTATTGCCATTTTTCAGCTTCCTTATATTCTTAATTTTGTTGCAGTGTTTCAGCAAAAGGCCACTCGAGTGACCTGTGACAACAGCAGGACATACTGCGAGGCCAGGAATCCCGGTACAAAATTTAATTAGTTCTTTAACTGCCTTGATATTTTTCAGTAGAATTAGTAGRGTTTTGCTTTGATTTGATTTTGGCTGATTTAACATCTGTTTTGCCACCTACGATTTATATCCTTAATGGTATTGCAGCATTAAGAGATCAGATTAAAGAAAGAAAATTAAAAGTTATAGTCCTGTAGGAAAGATTTGTAGAGTCAAGAGTTATTTTACATTTTTCTGTTTCGTTTAGTCATTGTGATTAAAGCCAGAAAAGGAAGGACAGGAGGGCTCAGCTGTGCAMTAATTCCAGCCATGGAAAGACAGCAGTGGGGGGAGAAACAATTCTCTCTTGGGTACCCCAAGATCCCTGTAAAATTACTTACTTGTGGYAGTCCAGTTGTGATTTGAGTTGTAGCACATGAAAATGTTGCTACTATAAATTCCATTAGTGGAACCCGAAAATAATTTACAGTGTTATGTACAAAATGAATGAACACTGAGTGAAGATATTTCCTCCTGCTTCACTTAGCAAGTAGCAGGTCAGGATTAAAGCATGTAGAGCAGCATTTAATCACTGATTTCTTACTSCACTTGGGAACTGCAGCCTACAGTGCTACTGGCATTACTTTGCATCAGTGCTGAACCACTTAGGAAAAGAATACAGCACCCTGTAGATCTCACTGTGGTGGAWTATTTGGAATAGCATAGCTCTACAAACCAGCTTCATGGTCAACCAGCCTTTTATGATGGAGTGACTACATGGTTTTATGGATCTGAGGAGATATACACACACCCCTTTTGCTRATATAAAAAATGAAGTTTTACCTAACTTGGTCTGATCTGAAAATAATCCTATCAGATGACAGGTCATTAATCCCTCAAAACAGAAACAATTAGCTAAGATGCAAAAGAGTAGAGAGAATCCATGGACCAGGGCAATAGTAATGAAGAAAATGGTCAGGATGCTGCTCTGCTGCTGAAGAGTGATGGTAGAATCCTCATTGRTTTGCTGTATTTTTCACTCTCTACATTTTGTTATAGCAGCACACAGAGACCACGCTGAYATGGTAACTTACAGCACTGTGGTACACAACATCCCTCCTGAACAGGAAGAACTCATCCACTTGCAGAAACAGGTGAAAAAGGGGGCAATTTCTGTGGATGAAGCTCTTGACAGATTTAAACARTGGCAGAACAAAAGGCAGAGACTACCATCCACTCAACAGGTACGAGTCTGAAAGTTGTTCCTTGATAGGACTCTTGATCAGAAGTTCTAGAAACAAGATCTTGTGTTTTGGCTCCTGTATATGAGGTAAAAATTAAAATCATGATTTATATGCAAATCAGATCCCAAGGAGCGTGCTGCTTAATGTTCTGAATCTTCTAGATACCTGTCTCCACTGTTGTTTGATTACTTGAGAGGATTTTAACCAAATTCCTGAGTTAAATATGTTGGTCTCATAAGATTTGTGTTTTAAACTATTGGGTGRTGTGCATCTTTCATGAAACCACAAACCTTCTGTCACCAAACAAACCAAATGTGCTATTAAGCAGTGTCAGCTAACAGAAACATGACTATATCAAACATACATTTATTGTAGTCAATTAATATGTATTGACTTACATCAGGCTTTATGCCTGTCTAAAAGTGTTGAATAGAATTAGTGAAATTCACAACTGTTGGTAATGCTCAACAACTCCTTTGTATTCAATGTATGGAGTAAATTGAGGTGCACAAAAGCAGGATTTACAAAAGCCCACACACTGAGTCACTGGAAGAACTGCATCAAAACTGCAAGCCATGGAGGGGAGGTTTGTTAAATACTTCTAAAAAGACACATGGAGGAAGAGGTCATGCACTCATTTTGCATGAGGTCATGCATTAAGAAAAATAATTTCTTGTTGTCCTTTAGGTCATTTAGTAGAAAAAAGGAAAAGCAAAGMTGATCTGCTGCTTTGCAAAGTGGGAGAGCTGTCAGATGCTGCCAGCAAGGAGAATGCTCTTTGTGTTTGCATCTGCTTGAAAGTTTGAGCTCTGTCACCACAGTGGAACACTTAGCAGCAAAAGTGCAAGGGCCTGGAACAGTTGGGAGCCATTTCCTGAGCTGGGCAGCAGCAGCACAGCACTGGGAGTGTGGTGGATGCCCCCTTCCAAATCCATCTGCAGCCAAGCATGAGGATAAACTGCTGGCACWGCTCTCTCAGTCAGGGGCATTTCTTGTGGAGGAGGATTGTGTCTGATCTGTGCCATGATAGCAGCACCAAGTCTTTTTGTTTTTCTTGGTGAACTATGAGATGCCTGTATTTCAAGGAAGATTTACTTGGCCTTTTTTYACTGCTTCAGGTAAAACGCTACTTTGTAGTGGTGGTTTATAGCCTGCACAGAATGTGTGACTTTTCTTTGGTTTTGTTCCATAGAAAAGTCTTTGTTGTCACCCCTCTATAAACATGATGAACTTGCTTCATGCTGTCACTGCAGTTGTTTGTCCTTCACTTGGATTTTTGAGGAAAAATCACTTGTCCAAAAAAAAAAAAAAAANTTGTTTGTCCTTCACTTGGATTTTTGAGGAAAAAACACTTGTCAAACAGAACAACCAAAACAAAAAAAAACCCAACCAAACAAAAAAAAAACCACCCAGGCCTCTGTAATCTAATATCAGAATCATTGTAACTTACTGATGGGGAAAAAAAACACCACAACAAGATTCTGAGGTAAGCTAAAATTAGTATCATAAACATTTTTTAGTCTTTAATTTTTTTTTCCTGGAGAGAGGTGCTTGGTGTTCAGAATGCTAAAGAATTCAGCTTTTTATAGTGACTCATTATTATTACAGAAAACTTCCATTACTGATTTCTGTTGCTGGTTTTATGCTTGTTTTTTTTTGCTTAAAGGAAAAAGTGCATCACCTTAGAGACACCACTATCAGAAACAGACAAGAAAATGCAAAYCTGAATGGTAAGTTGTACTTTTTCTGCCTTTTAGAACTCTGAAGCCTTGARCTGTAGGTATGGTGCAGAGGTCTGATCCAAACCCTTTTGGATCAGGCATTAAATTTGTAATGAGCATTTTCTSTATCTGACCACATTTATTTTAGCAWAATGAGGCCTTCAGCAGTGTCAGGATTTCATCCCAAAGATGAACTCACTGCAAGTTAATGGGRCAGAAAATTTCCCAAGTCCCTGTGGCTCAGCTTTTCTGTAGCCCATTTCCTACTGCATCATCAGAATTTGGGTAGATGGCTTCTTTAGATCAATTTGCTTGATGACTTCAATATTTTATTTGTAAATCAGCCATCAATTTGCAAATTYTTGATGAATTTTCTACTGCTACAGCAGTTTTTGTGAGTGTTGTGGTCATTATTTGAAACTCTACCATTGGTGATTTAAGATGTATTTTTCCTTTTTGGGGGAAAAATACGATTTTTCAGGCTGTCCTRTGCAGGAYCAGGAACTGAACTCTATGATCCTTGTGGGTGCTTTCCAGCTCAGAATATTCTATGGTTCTTTGTGATTGATGTCATCTGCAATAGTATAAACCATCAGCTTTTCCTGCAAATGTTTTATTTTCTTGTTGTTATGAAAAGAATCTATTRGATGGTATTGGTTTTAGGCCTGTGATTCCCATAAACTTCATACATATGAAAGGAAAATTAGTGTTTCTTTTTCCCATTGGATTTAGTACCATTTGTATATTGCTATTTAAAATTATCTACTAAATGTGTTATTTCCTTATTGCAAGAGAGAAAAAAAAATGCACAGCAATGCTTTCATTATTCTTTTAGACATAAATACAACACTGTGAACTTGTGAGATAMTGTTATTAATTAAGGGCAATTCTTGCTGAGAGAGGCATTTTGTTTCACATGTCATTTAGTAAAGTGGTATGTGTGAATGTCAGCAGTCCTCRGATTTGTTCAAAGAATTCTAGTTTTTACATGTATATACAGATTCTGTACCTATGAGAACATGGGCCTCCCTCTCTAGATTCCAAGCTTGAAATCAGGATTTGCATAGACAGTTTCTGAAGTCTTGATTGAGGATTTAAATAGATCACATCTGAAGTATATTTGAAAAGAAATTTGATTTTATTTTAATGAGAAAGAAAAATATCTCCTAGAAATTAGTATGGAATATAATTTTTAGTTTTTTGATAAGTTTGATTTTGCATCCACTCTACTGAAAGTTATTAATGAGAGACACTCATTTCAGTCTTCCATTATAATATTTGATGCTATCTCAAAGTTCATGTCTCATTTTGTAACAGTTTATTGTAGGACTGAATAACACAAAGAAAAGAAAATCAACTGCAAAGCAAAAAGTTCTGYCACTCTTGGAATGAAATATCTACAAAATCCTATTTTAAGAACAACTAAATAGGGCTTAGGCATGGGGAATGTTCATTTGCAGAAAGTGCAGGTACAGACAGTGGTTAAATCTATATACTGAGATAYACATCTGGACTGACCTGTAGACATTGATAATATCTTCCTTTTTTATTTTTCCCAAGAAGGTGTGAGCCAACAGCCCAAACCCAACAAGAACGAATCTCTTACATGAAATTTCAGGGTAATACATAAAAGATTTGTGGACAAAAATTCCACTTTTAAACCTGAGAGGATCAAATTTTTCAAGGTACACCACCAAAGTACTGAACTAGAAGTAAAAGTTTCCCTATTGGCCATGGAAAACTTGATCTGTAAGCAAGGCTCMTTAAACATCAGGCAAGGCTTGAGAGTCTTGGGTTTGTGCATGTCCACTAATAGGACAAAAGGCAGCAGCTGAGACAATATTTAGGCAAGGATTACTGGACAAGTTTCCTCTAAAGTCTTAAACAACACAGCTTTCACATCTATTCTATAGCCTTATGTCCTAGCATAAGAAAATATTTAAAAACTTGTGTGGTGCCTATCTACATCCTTGGGCATTTGAATTACCTATGTGAATCTCATTTAGCCGTTTCTGAAAATGAAACTTCAAAATCTGCCTACTGTTGAAGCTACATTATGGCACCTTGTGTGCCACATCCCACAGATTTAGTCATCCAAAAACCTAAAAATATGCACGAGATTGTAGAAACTATGTCAGATGGTTGGAGTTGCTTGGAGTTAGCCATCCCCTCATAGCTAATCTCYGTAGAACCTTGAACTTGTTCATTAGGGACACACAGGAAAGTGCCAGGTTCCTCATCAAAACTGGGAATGACTGATGCTCTTTTCTCCAGGCTTGGCATAGCAGCAAGAAGTGAGTAGTTGGTGTCCCTGCTTCATTGCTGGGTAATGAGAAAGAGAGAGCCCACAGAGGACAAACTCTAACTCAGCTGGGCTTCAGGAGACAAATACTGCATTAAGCAAAYGTTAAGCCTGATTTATTATTATTGGTGATGGTGTTACTACAGCTATTATTATTTCAGTGCCAGCAACTTCTACCATGGTTGAAGGTAGATTTTGGAAAAAATGTTCAATGTTTCAGTAATCCCCTAATGATAAATATACCTGTGGGACAAATGAGCAATTCAGTCTGCATCTGCTCAGCCTTGGGCTCCCTGGCAAGACTGGCAAGGTCGGTGACCTGCTGTGGAAAGGGCAAAGCTTTTTCCACAGCCTGCTCAACTGCAAGCATTTATTTCTTAGCTGCTAAAATCAGTAGTTACTGACACTGAAAGTGGCCTTTCTGTCTAAGAAGGGCAACTTTACTGTGTGTTGCTGTASACTGTTTAATACTGACCTGCTCCAGTAAGTAGCCATATCTTCCACTAGAGTAAAGGCATCCTCTACACAACAACTTCTTTCAGTCTTTGATTTCCAAATCTGTAGATGCCCAACTTGCTGCCAAAGACCAAATCTCTCTTTCCTGTCTTCATCCAAAAACCACCCAGAAGAGCACTGTGCACTTCTTACAAACTGGCAGGTTATTGATTACATCTATCCARAATGTCTGGCTTCATTCCTCAGCTTTCATCAGTGCCTTGTTTTTAGTCCAAGTTGCTAACAGACTGCTTATTCATCAGTCGATGCCTCTCCAGTTTGCAGGTTGTGTCTAAGTAGAGTTTGCTGAAAACTAAAAAACCATCTCTTATTTGTGAGCACARCTACCAATTTCTGTTGTCTCTGCCAGGTCAATAGGAAGATGAACAAAGATAAACCCTAATTTTATCATTTGGATCTACAGGCACTAAAAATGTTTTAATCAACCCAGTTAGCAAAGTTGAAATAACATGGGATCCTGAAGCACATACAAGGTTTTTTGTGTTTGAACAGTGAGGAGGTTGTAGAAAAGCTGCTTTTTTCTTCATGACTTAAAAAGTATTTCAGTCAGGACTACTACTCTTGAAAATACTTATTTGCTGGCAGTTTACAATAGTGTCCATTGGACTTGTGAAAGAACATCTTTAGCCTGGCTTATTTCCAATTTCTTAGCTTCACATGATGCTTAAAGTTTAAATCTAGAAAATAATGAAAATCAGTTTTCTACCTGTTTGTCAGCAAATCAGGTCTTCATGAGGCAAATTCACAGTCCCACTGCTGACAGGAGTTCACCAGATAATGAATAACCATGTACCTCTCACCTCTCCTAATTGCCACCAAGAGACACCAGCCTTGCTGTTGGGAGCAACATTTGTAYAAAATCTACCTCATGTCATTCTCCCACACAACAACTGCTTATTTTTGTGAATGTCTCTTGCTCCCCTGCTCCCAGGGACATTTGGTGTCTTCATATGTGAAGTAAAACACATAGAAAGTGACTCATCATAGGAATGTATTTTCTGAATTATTCAACTTCAAAAGATACTCTGCACAAGCCTTTCTGATATAAATGACTATTGATTGCATCTTTTTCTTTTTAGTCTACAACTAGGAGCCCAACACGGAGCAGATGCCTGATTACCCAAGGTAAGATAGGTATACAAATGCACACACAAATGCCCAGAAATGTTGTTTGTCATGGAAACAAACACTTGTGGAAGTACTTTCTATCAGAGTGCATCTCAGACAGAGGCTGTAATTTCGCAAGATAAATTATCATCACACCATCTGGTTTGCACTAGAACTTCCCTTTTATCAGCTACCAACCTATTCTTGTTTACAGCAGGGCAGATCAGCAATCAGAGCAATGAGCTCACTTTGGGTGCAGGTGAAGAGAGTTCCTGCAGTTGTTGCCACTCAGGCAGTCTGTGCAGCTAAAGGCTRTGTTAGAGTCTAGTCCTACAAACTGATTTCACAAGCACTATCAAAGACAGTGAATAAAGTTGAAAGCCATAGATACAAGGGCATGTCCAGATTAAACATGAGACCAGTGGTCATTTTAGTGCTGGGAAGCTTGGAGGTGATGATACTGTCCCCACAAACAGCAGAATTTTCTGATGATTGTGCTGATCATTAATAGCTGGTGGTTTTAATTATTACAATCTATCTGCTACCTGARTGCTTCTGTTTATACCTCATATTACTATTAATATATTGATACAGTGTTAATATTTTTGCTATTATTATKTCATATTATTAAGTAATATTTCTTCACAGTAGCAAAATTATGCAATTCATTCCTGACGACAACCATAATTTTATAGGCTTTTTTAGCTAAGTTACTAATTGATTCAATTTGACTTTCAGACTTTTCCAAGTGAGGGGAGTGCAGTATGATACTGTTGTAGTATTATATTTTTTAGCATTGCAAATGGATTATCTGCCACCCTACTCTCATGTAAGAGCTGTGTGTCTCATTTCTGGAGCCAACTGCTCACCTGCTCACTGGAGTGAGTGTCCACACCTCAAAACCATCCATTACCTCCTCTGCTGCTATTCATCCTCTGARTCACTTGTTCCCCTCTCCAAAAGTTCTCCTAAGAACAAAAAAAGAGTCTTATGACATGAGCTGAAAATGAAAAGTTATTGCTCCTTCTTCAAGAGGCAGCTAAACTCCTACATGGGCATTCCTAACAAAGCTGTTTCCTTAAGTGGAGATGAAGTCACCTGCACTTAATGAGCAAAAAAGCTTTGAATTTTGAAASCTCTGAAACTGGAGAAAACTACTGCAAAAAAACTGGGTAATATCAAAGATRCTTATAAATTCTGGATTGCTAAAGTGAGATGAATCATGCAAGGGGAGAGGGGAAATTACCCCTGGGATCAGAATAGGTGATTTCTGTCACTTCTAGAAAATTATTATGTGGGAGAGAGAAGGTGAATTAGATGTGGGAGAACTTGCAAATACAATTTATCCAGAACATTCAATAATTCTGTTTGTGAATTATCCACWGCAAACTCCAAGGTTCTCTTCTT